TAGAACATTCATGAAATGAACGAAACAACATAGTTGTCATACTCCAATTATCATATTTTCACCATGAAAATCTACACATTCTTAGGCTAAAGTGTAAATCGACTGTCACAAACTCACGACTATGTGGATTTAAAATTCACATCTTTCTTTTTCATCCATGGTGCTTCCTGAGTATTTTAATTAGTCCAAACGCTTTTTTTGACAGTCTGCTTAACAAAATTGCGACATAACCAAAGGCAGTACAAACACAAAAGGCAGTGAAAGCACCTGCCCTTGGTCATGTACTCATTGTTTTATGGCCACCGACCCTTCCCCAGGAGGAGCAAGTTGCTGGACTGGACTGATTGCCTAAACATCATGAAACTATGAAAGTAATGCACAAAGGAGACTTCATAAATAAACATTACGACACACATTTTAACTCAAGTGTATAATAATTATACAAAGTTATCTTCTTCAAGAACACAAGTACTTCACAATCACCTACACTGCTCTCATTTTCAACAATGTCTATTCTCCATTTTCAACTCCTAAACCATACAAGACACCAGCATACTTCTCCATTGACCCACTAAAGAAGTTCTCTTTCAACTTCCTGAAAGTGCAAGCTGTAAGCAAACTATCGGAACCAGCTTGATGGCACACACCAACTCGCTCCACTTCCAATAGCTCCGCGAGCTTGTTCAGCCCACCATGGAGGCTATTGCAGAACTTCATCAGGTGCTTGATATCAAACACAACTGGGAAATACATGTTGATCAGGGCAAAGAAGCCTGACTGTGTATCTGGCAATGGCTGGCATGTCAATATCTTGAGAAGATACCCAAAATCATACCCACTGTGGAAAGTTACCCAGTAAACACTGTCATTAAGCACAATTCCAGAAGACATGAGAAGCTCCCCGAATCTTCTTGCATCAATGCCATTCTCTGCGTTCTTCTGGAAATCGATCCCGCTCTGGCGAAGCAGCTCGATTGAATCGCTGGCAAAGACATCTTCGTTGGGATTGAACTCCCGGAAGTTGAATTGCCAGATGCAGTACTTATCTTCAGTCCCTGAGGTTGGAAGGTTACCCTTCTCGTCAGAGAATGTGAGGCCAAGCTGTATCAACTTCAACATGTCAACGTTGTTTTTAAGAGTCTGGTAATGGTAGTCGTTGCTGTTCTTGAAATTGCCTACAGGTCGGATAACAATGCCTGGAAACTCTGTGTCCATTGCGATATACGGATAATCATCCACAATTCCTCGGATTAGGGTAAACTCTTCTTCCAGATTATAATCCCACACATCTCGGATCTGGACAGAATCGCTTCTGGGCAAAAGCGACATCTTCCAGTTGACCCTATAATTGCTCACAACAAATAAACCCCAATCAATAATCGCACGAGATCTCTCTCGACAACCATAAAAACTCAGGACGTTGACAAATTCCAGAACGAATCAATTTCAAATCCGATCTGCAGCAAAAACACGGGTTCCACACAGATTTAGGACCAGAAAATCCAAATCGCAGATAACAACACACATACGAACAGAAACGTGAATCGAGAAACGAGAACGGCGTGAGAGTCTTACCGTAGATTCAAAAAGGTTTGAACTTTGGACCTTAGATCGACGAAGCTCTCCAGAAACGGGCTTTGAAAATGGAATATATGAGGAAAGAAGGAAATATGAGCAGAATTGGAGGGTCTCTGTATAATTAATAAAATTGATGATTAGCCCCCTTTCGGTGCTTTCTAGAGACACGGGAGGGGCCCCTTCACAGTTTCACCTCCCTCCAAAAACAATACAATGAATCCTGTAATTTCCCCTTCTTCCAAATCTGAGTTTTCCCTTCTGGTTTGAAGAAAAAATGTCTTTGCTGCGAAAATGGGAAGCTCGCGTTCGTGTTGGGAGGATCGCATAATAATTATGGTTTTTTTTTGTTTTTGACTTTTTAGGATAATTTTTGTAAAAGGCTAGGAGGAAAATACTATTAATAATTAGTTAACAATAATAAAAAAAAGAAAGACAAAAAGAGGAGCCTAGGAGGGGAAAGCAAGTAGCAAAAAAACAAAGCTCTTCCCTCGTAAGAAAAGAAAGAGAGGAAATGGTAAATATAGTTAGAGAGCAAAAGGAGATGAAGCGGAGGAAATCTAGTGGTTTGATTGAATAATAACCAATGGATTGGGGGTCGGTGGAGGGGGTGCATGTACTCACACTTATTAAACTTTTTATTTTATACGTTTTTATTTATTTGAAAAACTTGTTTGATGAATGACACAATTTCCATACCAGATATCACGAATGATGGTGTTTTTAATTAAACTCAAATTTCATGATCTGATCTGGTATGTTTAGATTTGATTTGAATTGATGTAGTCTGATTTGGTAAATAGCTAACGTATGTATTTTTTATAATTGTCGAAATCTGGTCTAATTAAGTCTAATTTCATTTGATCTTTTTATTATGCAAAAAACGCACTGTATGATAAGTCGAGAGGAACTGCAGGTAATGTTTGGAAACTGATCATTGTAATTTAGGTTTTCTTTTCGTTAATTCTGGTTTATTTTAGTCACAATTGGATGTCTTCCTTTTTATTTATTAAAAAAAAGACCAAGTAGTCTAGCACCAAACCATGTTCGTCAACGTCTTCTCGTTGTTAGGTGGGCATAATTTCTACTAAAAATCTCCTAAATTGGATTGTCCTAAAGAACATGAAAAGTAAATGCTCATTATACGAAAGAACTTTAACAACTAAAGACGTTGACAAAATAAGCTCATCGTGTCATGCGTTGTCAATTTTAGGTTTTCTTTTTATTATTTCTATTTTACCTTCGTAAAAATATGTTGATTTTACCTTATTTATGTCCCATCAAAATTTATGATCATGTATTTCATGTAAAAACTGGTTAAGGTGACAAAAAGAAATAGAAATAACAATAAAAATAGTGAAACTCAAACTGAAATTCTGCACCTTTGGCAAGAGTGAAACTTGGAAGTTTATATTATTGTATAAACCTTTGACTAACCAATGTTTTTTCAAGCTGCATCACCCTGCATGGAAACTCGCTATATGTTATTTTCTTCATCGTGTAAATCGTGAGTTCCAATGTTTCTTTTATATAATTTTTCAAATTTGCATCGAGACCACAAGCTTAATGAAGTTGATTATGTTTCATGTTGATTTGCTTGACTATGTGAGTACATAGGTTGTATGTTTGAACCCTGTGGTGTCCTCATTGCTCAAGGCCTTGAATTGGATGAAGAACACGTCTAAAATTCTTCAATCAAAATCTCAAACATTTCTTTTCACTTTCCTATGTTAACGCCTCCCTCACATTACTATGAATTATAGCAGGACTAAAATTGCATCTAATATCTTAAGATAATGGGTTATGTACATTTGCATCGATATATCACACACCGACCAGAGGGGTTTAATGCATCAAACCCCTCGTGATTTACAAATTTAGCGTATTAACTCCCTGTGATTTAAAAAGTGTATCAACCCCCCTATGTTAATTATTCATGTGCAAAGCCCCCCAAGAACAAATTTAATTGCCAATTAAATCGAAAATAATTAGTATTTTTTACAATTTAGCGATCTTGACAAATTTACTTGCATATGTATTCATAATATGAAGATAAATGATTTACAAATTGTTAAATTTATTCTTGAAGAGCGTTCTGCGCATGAATAAACATAGCACAGGGGGCATTTTTTAAATCACATGGGCTAATGTGCCGAATTTATATATCACAAGGGGTTTTGATGCATTAAACCCCTACAAGAGATATACAATAAATGATCGCATAACCTCACTCTAGCAGGCTAAAAGCACAACAAATTAAGTATAAGAATGTAAAATATGATAATAAAAGGATCTATATTTAGAATATGCTTACATGCATACACATATGCGTGCGTGTTTGTGCATACATACATGTGTTGTGAATCATGTATGCAAGTGTTTATATAATTATGTTTTTGTTACAAAATAGATTATATGTTACAAAATAGATTATACGTGTTACAATTCTAGTAGACAATGTGCCCCGCCACCTATTGTGGATGAAGGAATATTGGGTTATGGACCTATGGTGATACAAGGGAGATCTACATACAAGTTATGGTAAGATGAAGCTCGGGACAACTTAGATTTTTTTTTTAGTGTAAAAATTTTCATTTTTCATATTTAGCCTACTCCGCTAACATTCAAACTTAGTATAATTCATATTCGGCACAGGACATATCAAATTCCTGGATCCGCCCCTGTGGTGATAAATCACATAAGTGTGGAGACTCACATGAAGATAATCTTGAATATATAATGAATACTGTTAGATGTCTTAACCTGCAAGGTGGAATAGAATGTTTTTGTGTCACAGTGTGCCTGAAGTCCTGAACCAAGTGAATCTCTTGCGTTATTATTCCAGAACTACAATCTAGACTTACTTGCAAGCTCGAATAATTTGAGACTGACTTGCAACGTTAAACTTAACAAAACTTATCAACAAATAAGATTGGTGGTTAATCACTAGTAATGAATCCATTCATTTAGTCAGCTATATTCAATTTGAGGTGGCGGGTGGCCATAACCCAAAGATGCGCAACTAGGTAACTAGGTTAGCGACGGTAGAGGAATCCCAAAAGGCCAAAGTAAGCTGCACATGGTTTACACACTTCTTTTGAAAATTTCATATCAATCAATGCAACGTTAAAGATAATGTCACAAGTAATGTGAAGCTTATGGTATATTGGTATCTTTCCAGCATTTTTTATGTTTCCAATTCATTTCATAATTACTATACATAACCCTGGAGCTAAGCAAGGCTTGCACACTAAAGGAGCTAAAAGACCCAAGTTCAACAAAAGTAAGCTGCACATGGGTTACACACTTCTTTTGAAAGTTTTACATAAATTAATGCAAGCATAAAGATAATTTCACAAGTTATGTAAAACTTATGATGTCTTTCTAGCATTTTAAGTTTCTGGCTAACTCAAATGGGCAGGTAATTACCATGAAACTATTATCTTGTTATATCAACAGCAAAGAAGAAAAAGATTAACATCAGTATCACGTGGTCATCGCATCAGATTCATTTCATAGTCAGAATAGAAAGCCCTATAGCAAGGCTTGCATACCAAACGAGTTAAAAGACCAAAGTTTAACAAAGATAGTTGCCTCAAAATGAACATAAATCATTTACAATAGCGCCCTGATGCATAATAACATTATGAAAAATGAGCAGAGTGAAATGCATTTGAAAGGGAGAGCAAAACTGAAACACTTGGTATGGTATACCGTACAAAACAGTGTGATGACCTCTTTCATAAATGGAAAAAGATACACGACAGCTTTCAGTCATGCTAAGACATCTTTGTAACATATTCATCACTTGCTTTCAGTAACCGGGAGATACACCCCTTCTGCTGCCAGCCAAACATTATCAGGTCGCTTTTCTCTTATACTACAAACCTGCAGAACTTCCACCATGTCACATATAATAGAGATTGTTCCTAATGTATGTGTTCAGTCCCAATCCAGTTCACTGAGGCTATATTGGAACGCAATATAGGAGGGAAAGGGACAGAATATTAAGCAAAATTAATTCGTTAATGTCTGGTTTTATCTTGGCAAATACGAAGGAAGATCAAACTTGATTTGAACCTTTTCAAAGTTTTACATAGATTTAGATTCTTAGTCTTTAAAAATAAAAGAAATATCTGAATGAAAGAGCTCGAACATATATCTAATATTGATGTTTAAACTCGTTTCTTCACTTCCCCCCAAATGTTATTTCCTACGAATTTCTTCTCCACTTTCCTCTCTATTTACGTTCCCTGTCACTTTCTTAATTCCAATCTAACCATAACATATCTATAAACAGATAAACAAATACATGAAGGATCATAAAGACAAAGGGATCACATCTTGTAATCACCTCTTGCTGGCCTCCAGCAATGCGGGTATACTTTTTGTCATGACTGTGTAGATACCCTCCAGTGTCCACATGATGCAGCCTGACGCTTTGATCTTGCCTCCATGTTTTTCCATTTCCCTCAACTTCAAGTCTTATGATCAAAATTTAAAAAAAAAAAATCATAATCCTAATTCCTTGACATGCTATTCAGGAGGCTGTGAAGAATCAAAATGATATTGAATACTAACCTCCAGTAGTCCCCGGTATCAGACTCATTGTCATCACCAAAGCAGCTAACCTACAATTTTTTTCCCACAAGCTAATTACGAAGTAATACATAATGATTTTAAAAAGGAGATAAGCATAGTTGTTATGGCGTCGCTGCATCGTCGCCTTATCGTCGCCTTGGCGTCGTGGCGCTCTGGGCAGGTCGCCATGGAAGCTTGAGACGCCATAAGTCAAAAGGCGTTGCCGCATCGCGCCAGAGCGTCGCAAATACGACACTGATGCCAGACAACGACGCTAGGCATGACCCACTGAGCCAAAAATTACGAATAGGCCCAAACCCAACCCCAGTAATAAGATAAGTGATTAGCGATAACCCTTTAAAATTAAAAAATTAAAAACAGTTAACCCATAAACCGGGCGACTCCAAAATCTCGCAATCCCAAATGCATAGCGACAGTCATCACCCATAAGTTGACTTTAGACTTTACTTGTTTTTGTGGCTCCAGAATTATCCTCTAGTGTCTACTTTTTGTATTTTTTTGTTGAGTATTAATTAATTGCTTTATATTATTTCTATTTAATATTTTAATGTTTTGTATTCCTTTATTTCGTTGCTCTAGTAGGCTGTATTAATTAATTTGTATTAATTAATTGCTTTAAAATCTTTCTATTTAATATTTCAATGTTTTGTCTTTATTTCATTACTCCAGTAGGTTGTATTAATTAATTTGTTATTAATTAATTGCTTTTAAATCTTTCTATTCAATAATTCAATATTTTAGTGTTGAACGGTGTAATGTTGTAGTGTAACTAGTGTTGTACAGAAACACAATTGAAAAGTTTGTATTGTTACTATTTTAAGAAATGTTTCAATTTTCTGAAAACAAATTTCACTTTTCCCCATATAATAGTGAAATTTCAGTTGCTTTTTATATGTTATACTATGGATTTGATAATTTTAGTCCTACGAATTATTGATTTTTTTCCTATTCCTATTTGTGCACATTCAATTAGTATTAGTCCTATATAGGTCATTAACTCTTTTGGTTATAAGTATTACATGTAAAACATTGGTAGTGTTGGCTATAAGTATTACATGTAGGCATTTTAGTATGTAACATACTATGAATGAATTAGTGTACCTATGTCGACTTATCGCCGCGATGCCGCCACAAAGGCCGCCATATCGCCACGGCGGTATGGCAGTCCAGAGGCGCCGCGCCGCAAAACCACGCCGTAACAACTATGGAGATAAGCATAACAATATACTTGTATTTAGAACTCTTCATTTCTGAAAGAGGAGTTGCACTTTTTAGTTCCTAAGATATGTCTACACTCTACATAGTGATTTTCAATGCCAGTTGTTTTGAGTGAGAATATTCTGTCCTGGAATTTCAAAAGAGGTAGCTATTTATGGTTCGTGCCCTTATGAAAATTAATAACAGGGGACCTAAGGCTAAGGACCAAAAAATTGATTATGGCGAACTAGCAAAGGGGCAACCTTATAGTCTCATACAAACATTAGGACCTACGTTCACGTAAAATGGTTGGAGACATAAATCACTATTCAGCCATAGCGTATGAACTAAAATGCAATTCTTCATAACCATAATGATGAAACTTAGTTATATATGTTTGCAGCAAGAAATTCTCAATACTTGTGAAGTATTTACCAAACTCTAACAGGCTAATATGTTACCGTACTCTAAATGATGTTCAAGCTGGTTCTAGTTTATGCATAGAGTGTAACCATACAAACACTAAAAGACTATTATGTCATGAAAAAAGGAAAAAGATGAACTGAGGAAGACAATGTATTCTAATTCCTTACATAAATAAACCACGAAGAATCCAACAAAAGTGCAGCCTACAAACCTCCATATTTCCGGAAATTGGAGATGCATGCAAGTGGCTGTGCAGCCATCTCCTTGTCCTCATATGCTGCAGTCTGATAATAGTTCCTGTTTTAATAGCATCACCTTGCTTTGCAGATGAATCCAGAACCGCTTTAACAATCTGATAATGGAAAACCAGCATAGTGTAAAAATCATTCAAAACAAAAAAAAACACTGCATGTTGCATACTACATTAACTAGCCGCTGCAATAGGAAAGAGGGATGATCAATGGCCTACCCAGTAGCTGTTGGCATCATCCACACCAGGAAACCCAGTGACTGATTGCTGCCCACTGCCAGAACCATATGGCACGTCATGCGAATGCAAACGGTACTTAGTCTTTTCGTGCATCAACTTGATTGTTGAGCCATAAGTGATCTGTCAGAAAATTGAACATCCAACCTCTTTCAACAGAAAAAAAACACCTTTCACAAGAAAATAACCAAACCTTCTATTTTACGGTAATGAAGTAGGTTGTTTCTCCACTAGTAAAAGGTATACACTTTTACACAAAAGATTTGGAAAGGATCTTAAACGAAACAAATTACATAGTATTCTTTTAAAATAATACGAACTTAGTTCATTACCTTACTAATTTAATGATATACTAATGGAGTCAACCAGTAGTGCCAAGATGAAGAAATTCAACATACAAACATGAAATGCCGCTAAACTCAAATCCCATCAAAATTCGAGATTAATCAAGAAAAGTGCTACTGAGTACTGGGCCACTATCGTCTATGAAAGCCAAAAACGGATATTACCTGAACACCTTCGGAAGCAGCGGATACAGGGGTGGAGCTGAAATCGGAGTCGATGGTGAGGAAGAGAAAGATGGCCAGAGAGAAGAGAGACAGTGCCATGAACAAGAGCAGCGCTATGAACCAGGTGCTTTGCCAAAAAGGCAGAGATTCGGATAATGCTGTTTCGCGGAGAAGTGTCCGGGTCGGGCGAAAGGATGATTGATCCGATAATGTGGACGGCTTTCTGCGGGTGAGGTTTTGATGGTCTTGTTTGGGCGAGCCTGAATGAGCCACCGTGGAAGCTCTGGGCGGAACCCCGGCGGAGATCCCACAACGTTCCAATAGTGAATCTTGGGGGTTGCGGTAATGGCAGCGTGTCTTTCCCGAGCGCTTTCCACTGCAATTTGGGAAAACCAAGCGCTTAATGAGCTGCTCTGACCAATCAATTGTCCCCACGTGGTGTTCTTGTGACGTGGGATGCTATGGTTGGGAGACGTTGACAATGCAGTGTTTAGCTTAATTAGCTAATCGCAAATTATACCGTGGGATCGACCCACCATGCGCAAGGTGTGCCGATCCCAAAACGGTGCAGTTTCATATTGAAAATTGGAAATCATTTTATCTCCGTCAGTCCGTCTTCTATGCCCCTTCATCTCTTTCATCGGTTGCTATGCCTATCTGCTGCTTATCTGCTCTGCATCGGATTTCCCATCTTATTTCCTCCATCCTCTGTTATTGTTGTGCATCTGGGAGAGCCGAATCAGAATAGTAGGGTTAGGTACTCCACATCTTATTCCCTGCTCTGCTTCGAATTTGGCTTGGTCATCCAACATAACACTACAGAGCCTAAATCTCAGACCCATTGATATCTACGCCCATCTATATCCATGCGCAGATTCAATTCATATACAAAATCAATAACCCAAAGTCTCAATTTATCTCTTAGATTCAAGTTGAAGGGACAAAATCTGAGGAAAGTCATTACCAATCCAAATTCTTGTCTCTCCAGCCTCCAGTCACTTTGATTATATTTGTGCTAAGTTACATTTCTATGCTTATAGTTTTGATTTAGGCTCAACTTACATTTGAAAATACATGCAGTTACATCAGAATATGCCTAAAGTTACATATTTGATACCATCAGTTACATGTCAACTTTTCTTACCAAGTTACATACTATCTACATTTGATTTACATTTTCCAAAACACGTGTTACATCACAATATAATGCGAGTTACACAACCCAATAAGCCCCTGCTATTCAAATAAAAATCATTTTTATAAAACAATCATTTTTAATGGCTCTAATATTAGAAAAAACATATGCGCTATTTATGTAAAATAATTTGACTTCTTTTTTATCATTATTTACATTTAAATCAAAGTTTACGTCTTAACTATGTATTTGACAAAGTTACATTTCGACTGGACTTGATTTACACTGATTAATAACGTGAGTTACATATATTTACATGTGAGTTACATCATTCATGCTACTCGGACAAAAAGAAGGAAAAAACAGTTAATGTACACACGTGTACTGTTCACGCGTGTACTGTTCACGCGATTTTTTTTAAAAGATTGTGCAAAACTACGTCGTTTTGGGAGTGGGAGCATGGTGCTCACCGTGGGATGATCCCACGGTATAGGAACTGTTAGCTAATGGTTAAAGTTAACTGGTGTATAGCCATGGGAAATGCTAAGTATACACGCCATGACAAAATAAAATCTCATTTCCTCCCCCTCTCGATTCTCTCTTCCTTTTCTCTTCTTCCTCTCCTCCTTCTCTCTTTCCTCTTTACCTAATCTCTTCTAAAATTCTCAACAACAACAAATTTATCTTCTACCTTTATTTATCAACTTTTTTTCATTATTTGCACAAAATCAACGTATTCATCTTATTTCATACATTTTTATTATGTTTCTAATTTTATTCAAATTAATTTAAATTAATTACACATACAACTGCATCCTTCATTTGGATGTATATAGAAAATTGAGTTTTTTGTTCACCCAGACAATTAAAATTGATCACACAGACAACTAAAGTTGATCACACAGACAACTATTGTCTGTGGAACGCACAACTATTGTTTGTGTGGTAAAAGTTGTCTGTGCACACAAACAAATAATTGTTTGTGCAACATGAAAATATTGTTTGTGCACACAGGCACTGCACATATATTGATTGATTTGCAAACTGATGTCAGTGTCAGGCGGCTGTCAGCGTACTTTTTACAAAAAAAAAAGTAAATGTCTGTGGACACAGACAAAAGTTGTTTGTGTACACAGACAAGTCTTGTCTGTGACCACAGACGATTCCGTACCAATTGTCTGTGACCGACATTTTATGTACAAGTTGTGTACCCCTAGCATGGTTGGTATAGCCATGGCGATTATCATACCCCACACCTAAAACAAACTCATTTAAGTTTAAAGTTTAATTAGAAAACGCACATGAACATTATTCATGAGATTGTTTCAACATTTTTAGTGATATAAATTTATTATGTATTGAAATGTAATTCACGTTGGTATGAAATGTAATTTCAATTAACAAGAATTGTAATTTTTTTTTTTCATTTTTTAATCTCGCTAGGTAAACCACCAAAATCAGTGGGATAAATACGAGAGAACATTCGCCATAGTTTTATTAAAAATAATAGATGGTACAAAAAGAAGGGACACTAGACCAAAACCCCTTCGAAGAAGACATATCTCCTTGAAATACAACGATATAAAAGCAAAATAAAAAGACAAATTCAACACTTAGAAACGGCTCAACGGCTACTGAACTACCCATCTCGACCGTGCCCTTCGGCCTACCTCTCAGAAACATATTCTCACTAGAATCCTTAAATTGATTACTATTACCCCTCACATATTCTAGGTCCACTTCCTTACCTCTTAAGCAAATCACAACAATATCAAGGGAAAAATCATATCTACCATATTTTATAGCAGATTCGACATCAATGCAAGAACCACGAATAACATTGACGATACTAAAGTCGTTGCGTGTCTCAAAATAATACTACCTCCGTCCCTAAACACTTTGTCAAAGTTGACCGGCACGGAGAATAATAAAGTTAAAACTGTGTGGTTGAGGTTTGTGCAGATGAGGGAGAAATAACAGAAACCACAAAACAATTGATTGAAATGGAAAGAGGCACAGTTTTTTGGGACGTCCCAAAAAGGAAAGATGACAAAGTTTTAAGAGACGGGTGGAGTATTCAATACTTGCACTAATACCATAGTATAGCGTAGTAAGGATTTGATGACTAAATGTGAGAAATTTGATGTCTAAAAGTGTCTCTAAAACAATAGTCGAAGACTAAAAATGATAAAGTTTAAAGTCGAGTATCAAAAGTGTTACTGACATAATAGTGAGGGACCGAAAGTGGCAAAAGCTCCATTAATCAATCACAAAAACTTATCATACCAAACAAAACTAAATTGAACAATCATTTTTCTTTTATCGAACAACTTTACTCTTTTTTGTTTTAAAATCTTTCCAGTCACTAAAAACTACTCTATCCATCTTGCTAAAATTGTCTCATCTTTCATTTTAGATAAAATTTGTGTGATTCTAAATCACTTTTACTCCATTCTTATTTTATCAATTCAATATCAACCACATAAATCTACTTTTTTTAATAACCGTGTCACCTTCTTATGTCCCGATGTCAATAGAACAGAGGTAGTACCATGTAATACTACGTAGTCAGTAAAAGTTGGTGAAAATATCTTTTGAGGTATTAGAGGTGTTTGGACCTTCTTATTAAAACTATTTTTGCTTCTTTAGGGAGCTAAACCGGATATTAGAATGTTCGGGTGAAAGTGCAGAAAAACTTATGAGTGTTCCAAATTACTCAATAATTTTTAGAAACTGGGAAGATCACCTTCTGAAAAATGGATTCTAATTCAATTTATACTTTTAAAAAAGAAATAGAAGCAGAATCAATTTGAAACATTGGGGGAGTTTGGAACTAATTCTCTTTTTGCTTCTTTTTTAAAAAATAGAAGTAAAATTAAAATCAGTTTTTCAGAAACTCGTCTCTCCAGCTTCTAAAAACGTGCTTCTAAGAATAATTTGGAGCATCCAAAAGTATTTATGCACTTTCGCCTACAATCTTATGTGTTTCTGCCCGTAAGCAAAAAAAAAAAAGATGACACCTCATTCCTGAGGGTCCCCCAACTCCGATCGGATAATAGGATGCAAATTGAGTTTTGATCTCAATCTAATGAAAAGAGAGTGGAGCTCCATACTTAATGCTAGGAGTTAGAAGCTATTCTCTTCACCTGATCTGAATGTTTCTGATCTGAATTTTTTAAGTTCTGATCTGATCTGATCTGAATTTTTATGATCTGATCTGAATCTTTCTGATCTGATCTGATCTGAATGTTCCTGATCTGATCTGAATGTTCCTGATCTGATCTGAATGTTCCTGATCCGATCTGAATGTTTCTGATCTGATCTGAATCCTTTTGATCTGATCTGAATCTTTCTGATCTGATCTGATTTGAATATTTCTAAAATTATAATTACAATTATAATTACTATAATTATAAATGTAATTACACATATATAATTTAAATATAATTATAATTATAATCATAATTATAAAAATTATAATTTTAATTACAAACATAATTATAATAGGTATAATTATTATTATACGTATTACACTAGTTATAAATATAGTTATAATTATAATTGTAATTAAATTTATAGTTATATTTATTTCTATAATTATAATTTTAATTTTAATTTTAATTATAATATTTATTTCTATAATTTTAATTGTAATTACTCCGTATAATATGATAATAACGAAAACAAAACTAATAACAATAACAACAACAACCATATTAGTAGTAAGAATAATAATAATCATGATAATAATAAATATCATAATAATAATAATAATCATAATAATAATAATCATAATAATAATAATAATAATAATAATTATAATAATCATATTAATAATAATAATAATAATAATAAGTGTAATAATAATACTAATAATAATAATATTAATTATAATAATTACAATAACAACAACAAGAATAATAATAATTATAATTATTATTAATATTATTATAATTATTATTATAATAAAAAGGATAAATCATGTCTGAACTTTTCTGATCTGATTTGAATGTTCCTGATCTGATCTGAATGTTTCTGATCTGATCTGAATCTTTCTGATCTGATCTGATCTGAATGATTCTGATCTGATCTGAATTTTTCTGATCTGATCTGATCTGAATTTTTCTGATCTGATCTGATCTGAATTTTTCTGATCTGATCTGATCTGATCTGAATAAAATAAGAATAAGTAATAAGATTAAGAGAACGGCTTCTTAACTCCGACCTCTCACCTGGCACTC